AAGCGGCAGCACTCAGTCGCTGCAACACAAAGCATGTGTTTTTCATGCTTGCAAACGCTCCGCCGCACTGCACGCCAAGGCTCCAGTAGAGACGTCGGAGTGGCATACTTCCCAAGCGGCGCCACTCAGTATGCTGCAGTACAAAGCATGTGCTTGTCATGCTCGCGAACGCTCCGCCACACTGCACATAAAGCTCCAGTAGAGACGTCGGGGTGGCATACTTCCCAAGTGGCACCACTCAGTACGCTGCAACACAAAGCATGTGCTTGTCATGCTCGCGAACGCTCCGCCGCACTGCACGCCAAGGCTCCAGTAGAGACAACGGAGTGGCATACTTCCCAAGCGGCACCAATCAGTACGCTGCAACACAAAGCATGTGCTCGTCATGCTCGCGAACGCTCCGCCGCACTGCACGTAAGGCTCCAGTAGAGACGTCGGCGTGGCATACTTCCCAAGCGGCGCCACTCAGTACGCTGCAATACAAGTCATGTGCTTGTCATGTTTACGAATGCTCCGCCACACTGCACATAAGGCTCCAGTAGAGACGTCGGGGTGGCATACTTCCCCAAGCGGCACCACTCAGTACGCTGCAACACAAGGCATGTGCTTGTCATGCTCGCGAACGCTCCGCCGCACTGCACGCCAAGGCTCCAGTAGAGACGTCGGGGTGGCATACTTCCCAAGCGGCACCACTCAGTACGCTGCAACACAAAGCATGTGCTTGTCATGCTCGTGAACGCTCCGCCGCACTGCACGTAAGGCTCCAGTAGAGACGTCGGGGTGGCATACTTCCCAAGCAGCGCCACTCAGTACGCTGCAATACAAAGCATGTGCTTGTCATGTTTGCGAACACTCCGCCGCGCTGCACGCCAAGGCTCCAGTAAAGACGTCGGGGTGGCGTACTTCCCAAGCGGCGCCACTCAGTACGCTGCAATACAAAGCATGTGCTTGTCATGCTCGCGAACGCTCCGCCGCACTGCACGCCAAGGCTTCAGTAGAGACAACTGAGTGGCATACTTCCCAAGCGGCGCCACTCAGTACGCTGCAACACAAATCATGTGCTTATCATGCTCGCGAACGCTCCGCCGCACTGCACGCCAAGGCTCTAGTAGAGACGTCGGGGTGGCATACTTACCAAGTGGTGCCACTCAATACGATGCAATACAAAGCATGTGCTAGTCATGTTTGCGAACGCTCCGCCGCACTGCACGCCAAGGTTCGAGTAGAGACAAAGGATTCCCAAACGGCGCCACTCAGTACGCTGCAACACAAAGCATGTGCTTATCATGCTCGCCAACGCTCCGCCGCACTGCACGCCTAGGCTCCAGTAGAGACATCGGGGTGGCATACTTCCCAAGCGGCGCCACTTAGCACGCTGCAACACAAAGCATGTGCTTGTCATGCTCGCGAATGCTCCGCCGCACTGCACGCCAAGGCTCGAGTAGCGACAACGGAGTGGAATACTTCCCAAGCGGCGCCACTCAGTATGCTGTATTAATAAGGACAACCTGTATGGACGGTGCTTTGTGACACTGTTTGTGGGATTCCAATGTTCGCCAATGTACTTGTGGGCTGTAAAGATGATTATGATGTCATGTCTCTCATTGCAAATAATGTTTTCTTATAAAAGAAATTATACCGAACTTTGTATGATAATTGGTTTCATTCATTAAATAAGAGTCTACATAAGTCTGTTGCTGAACATAGGCCTCTTCAAAGGAACGCCATAAAGTTTCGTTCCGAGCCACCTGCATCCATTGCCTTCCTGCAAGTCTCACCACGTTGTTAATCCATCTAGTAGGGTGACGCCCTGCACTTCACCTACTGATACGAGGCTGTCACTCAAAAGCCATTTTTCCTCATCGGTTGTCGGTTCTTTGAGCTATATGGCCGGACCATTGCCACTTCAGCTTTCTAATCCGTTGGGCTATGTCGGTTACTCTGGTTCTATCGTGGATGTTCTCATTTTTAAGTCTATCAGGCAGAAAAACTCCGAGCATAGTTCTTTCCATAGCTTGCTGAGCCATCCATCACTGGCAACACGCACTGGTTGTACAATGTAGTTTGAGGCTTTGAGGTATGCCTTACGAAAAGATGTGTTGTAGACTCTCGAATGCTGCCCAGCTGAATTGTATCCGTCGATTGACTTCTCGATCGAAGTTGGACTTACCTAGTCGGACTATTTGTCTCAGGTAAACATACTCGTCAACAACTTTGATCTTAGTGGTCCCAAAACTACCGGCATAGGTGTGATGTAAACATTACACATGATCTTTAGTTTATCCATGTTCATCTTAAGACCTATTCTTTGGGTGAGTGACACTATTGAGGTCATTGAGCATAGCGCTTAAGTCCTCCAGCGTTTCTACTATAAGCACTATTTCGTCGGCAAATCGAAGATGAGTGATGTACTCGCATTGAAGTTAATACCGCATCCTTTCCAGTATAGTAGCTTGAAAACGTCTTCCAATGCAGCTGTGAAGAGTTTCGGGGATATAACGTCACCCTGTCTTACACCTCCCTGCAGTTGGATAGGTTTCGTACTCTGGTTCTGTACTCGGATAGCCATCGTAGCCCTACTATACAAACACTGTAGCACTTCGATATACCGACAATCAGCTCGGCACCGCTGAAGAGACTGTAGCAACACCCAAATTTCGACGGAATCAAAGGCTTTCTCATAGTCAACATACGCCAAGCAAAGTGGCAGATTGTACTCTTCGGTATTCAGTACAATCTGTCGCAGGGTATGTATATAGTCTATGGTACTGAAGCCTTTTCGTATATCGGCTTGTTCGGGAGGCTGGAAGTCGCCTAGTCTGCGTGCGAGACGATTCGTAATGACTCTCGAAAACAGAACATAGACGAAGGGAAATCGGTCTGTAGTTCTTCAAGAGAGCCTTCACGCTTCTGGAGTAGTGCCACTATGGAGGACGGAATTGAAGAGCTTCTGAAGGATTTTAAGTACCGGTGTTACACCTGCTTTCAGAAGCTCCACTGTAATTCCATCCTCGCTCGAGGACTTTTCGTATTTAAGGTGCTGGAGATTCATTCTAATCTCGCTCAGAATGACTTACGGGTTATTATCGGATTAGAGTCGGATAAGACATGCTCTTGGATCGTTATTCACACTTGCGTGTGGTTCCAACGATGACGTGTACAACTGCCGATAGAACCTCTCAAACTCACTCAAAATCTTAGGTGTCCCGAAAACCATTCTGCCAAATTTAGTCTTCAGCATCGAGAGTTGGCATTTTCTGGCAGACAGATCTTTTTAAAAGACTGTGGAGCACCGGTTACCTGGTAGTTTTTAATAGTATTTTAAATATTTGAAACACTGGTTGAAAGAGATTTTGACTAAAATTTTGAAAGTAATAACAATGAAGTTATAACTTAAGTTTCTATAGAGTTTCCAAATTTAAATCACCACATTTATCTCCTGGCAATAGTAAAAATGAGCGCCACAATTACTCTCTTCTTTATTGGTAAGCTTTGGTATATTTAAATTTACTTCGATAAAATGGGTTTTTAAATAAACCGCTTTGTAAATTTTTTCTCTAGACATTAAAATATTTTTTAAATTCGGCCTTTGTGTTACAGGCTGCTATGCACAGGGCCAGGGGACAGTTTGCGAATCTTTATCAAACTCATTGTACGATACAATTACCAATAACGGATTAAATTCAGCTTTTGGATCGTTACCCATTGTTATTCCGTACTATCTGCAATGACTTCCAGCTGCTGGTATATCTCCACCAACAGTTTGCAATACAGTTCCAAATATAAATGAACTTAGCTGGCGTTATAGCGTTTTCTTTTCTGCGGCTGGGTCAAATGTAATGTGCGAATCTACGCCCAATACTCTTGGAGTCGAAAGACTAGTCACCAAAGCGATTAACTATCGCAAAAATTTTCTTCAATACTGTCATTGAGTTCCCATTTCTGGAGCTACAGCAGTATGTGAATGCAGTACTAAGTTATCGGGCTGCGGTTAGTTATATTATTCTTATTCTGGTACACCGACTATCTGTGAAAGTTCGTTTAGTGTTGCACCGGATTTTTCATATGAATACCTTGTGGTAAATGGAATGAGTTTAGGTGTAGCACTATAAAGAGTTCATTTTTTTATAAATTCTCATTCTTCGTACTTTTTAATTCACAGCAAGAATTTTAGAAATTGATTATAATCGCTCATTTGGAGAAACATCGACGTAAATGTAATTTTTTCCAAAAATTAGATAAATATGACAAATCACTTAGAAAGTGTATTTACGTTAGGAGAAACAAAGACGTAAATCAACTTCAGTCTATTTATCAGTAGGTAGCGCTAGCGTCGTTGTTTCATTTATGCTAACTCGCAAAGATCTCGCGGAAACAGCGACGCATCGGTCAGTTGCGCGGGGAGCTCTGCGAAGTGTATTTGTGTTTGGATGCTACATCGACGTAACGGTAATTATGACATTATTTTTCATCTTTTTGGGGCTACAACGACGGAATGAACATTTTCGACATTGTTGTCCCAAAATATATTTGTTTTTGTAGAAGCAATGACATAATTTTTGTAATTTCCTATTAGTAATGTCGTTGTTGGTAGAAAATATTATTATTTGGTTCAAATACGGTTAAACATTGCTTTATGAAATTATTTAAATATATATACATTTTCAAAAGAGCAAGCCAGCTTATTTTCACGATACCTGGCCAAGTATTTTTGTTGTGTTGTATTACATAAAATGTTCGTATAATTCTTTTTTTGTCTGCGTGAAGTCGCAGTAAACTTCCTAAATTCCACGTGGGATTATTTTAGTCTTTGAAGTTAGATTTACTTTTTAAAATTTCTTTTATGTTGTATCATGTACAGTTAATGCATTTCACGAGCGCGCGTCAATAGTTGTAATTTAAACCTTATGTGAATGTAAATAAAAATGACATGACGCGCGCTGGTGATTTATAATTTTGTTTTGATTTCCTATTCATTTATTTTTAGGTTATTTACAATAATGGAAGGACGTGGTAGAAAGTTGGTCAATTTAGTAATGGATAGACACGAACCATCATCTATTGACACAATGACGTATTTAAATAATGTCAATATTGTTGGTGTTGCCGATCAGAGTGGCCATGGTACGTGTAAAATAGGCAGACAACTAGACTGTTTTTTATTTTGGTTTTGTTTTGCTATAATTTATTAATTTTCTTTTTAGCCAATAGAAATGGACAAGTTGAGAGTATTTATTCCGACTTGCCAAGTTTGCGAAACTCTCCGTATCACAATGAAGATATTTAGAGCATTTTAATAACGTCGCAGAGTATGACACAAGTAAACACGAATCAGAAACCTTCGAATTCCAACCTGTTCGTGATCTTAAGAAATCTACATCAACTTTATCCTCATCTAGCTCTGATTCTGAAGACTCGACTGCAAGTAAGTCGATTTTGACACAAGGGAACGTTTCGACATTAGAACAAGACAACTATGTCGTTCCTCTTGTATCTGAATTCCAGCTCCATTTACCAGCAAATAATAACTCGCAACCAGAAATATCTGAATTAGTTTTACCAAAATCCATCGAAAATAGTGCAAATGTTGATGGCAAATATTTAAAATCAGACTGTGAAGATTTTTCACCAGATGACAGTGGTGATGAATATCGGCCAGCAAAACGCACTCGCAAAATGTCTTTATCTAGTTCAAGCAGTTCCTTTTCATCGTCATCAAGCTCATCATCAAGCAGGCCCACTTCTTTTCACTCTACTACACACAGCTTCAACTTAATGCAATCTGGCGAGACTCTAGAGGTTATATCAGAGCAAAATAATCATTCCAGTAACAGTGTGATGCCAAATGATGGATCACCCCAAAATACAGATAATATTGTTCAATCTCCTAATAAAAATAAAAAGAAAAGGGTGAGGAATGAGGCTCAGTGGAAGAAAAATAAAACAAAACAATTAAAGAATTTGGGTAAAAAAATATACATCTCGCACTGGTAAAACTGTTACTACCAAAACAATGAAGCCGCCTTGTTCAGACAAGTGTCGATATTTGTGCTCGAACAAATTTTCAGAGGAGCAGAGGCGTGAAATATTTAATATGTATTGGGCTTTATCATCATTTCAGAGACAACGTGATTTTCTTAATTCTGTAGTTATGGTATTCCTACCAGCCGTGCGTCGTGTCAGAACAACGATAAAGAATAGAAAACCTAACACATACTATTCCCTAGTCAACAATGGGCAAAATGTAAGAGTTTGCAAAACTTTCTTACTAAACACATTGGGAATTGCGGATAGAACTTTACGCACTGTGATCGAGGCTAAAACAAGTGAAGGCTTTCTAGGCAGTGCACTTATGGACAGTCGTAGCAAGCATGATCATCATATTAAAACTGATCCAGAAGTCTTGGACTCCGTTAGAGTTCATATAAACTCCATAGCTAGGATTGACAGTCATTATCTCCGTGCACTAGCTGATTTACATCGTGACTACAAAAACATGAGGGAATCCGATAACAAAACTGCTGCAAACTATGATTTATACTACCGAACATTTACTAAAGAGTTTAACATTTCTTTTTTCATCCCCAAGAAAGATCAGTGCGATCTATGTGAATCTCGTAAAAATGCAGTTGACGGTGATGAAGTATTAGAAAATCAATATTTGGAACATCTGCGCCAAAAAGAACTCAGTCGAGCTGAAAAAAGAATGACATTGAGACTTGTAAAATGGCGGAAAGCAATAGCATTGTAGCTATATTTGATTTACAAGCTGTGATGCCTGTACCGATTGGAGAATGATCAGCTTTCTTTTATAAGTCTAAATTAAATTGTCTGAATTTAACTGTAAGTTACTCTTGACTTTTTTATTTCATAAACTACAATTTTATTTCTTAATACAATAAATTTCGATTAATTTTTTTAGATCACTAATATAAAAAACAGGGAGACGATTTGTTACTTCTGGCATGAGGCTTTAGGATGTCGGGGTGCAGTTGAGATCGGTTCCTGTGTCTACAAATTCCTGCAAAAAGTATCTGATAAATATCCTAATTCTGACGTTACGTTTTATACCGACAACTGCTGTGGACAGCAGAAGAACAGGTGAATTGGATAATGAATTGACTATTTTCAATAATTCTACATAAGAATGTAGAATCTAATTAAAAAAGAAATTGGAAGAATCCACCTAAATTATGAATATTAATGCAAGTACTACATTTTATTTTAACGTTTCCAGATTCATTTTCTCAATGTATCTGTATGCCGTCAAAACATTACGAATCAAAACCATCACTCATAAATTTTTGATCCGCGGGCATACCCAAAATGAATGAGATACAGCGCACTCGTTAATAGAAAAATCTATTAAAAAATATAAAAAGTCTGGGCCCATATACGTGCCAGAGCAGTACGTTCAAATCATAAGTTCTGCAAAAAAATGGCAATCCATTTATTGTAGAAGAGTTAAACTATGACGATTTCTATGATCTCAAAAAATTAGCGGAAGAAATTGGACTAAACACCGCAAAAGACGTACATGGAAACACCATTAAAACGAATGATATAAAAATTATTAAATTTCAAAAGGAAAATGTAACATAAATAAATTTAAAACTGGATACGAGGAAGACTGGACAGAAGCCGTTACAAAAATCTTTAGACGAAATAAGGGAGACACAAAAGATATAATAGATTTAACACTAAAGCCAGCGTATCGTGGAAAAATACCTATTGCTCAAAATAAGAAAAGTGACTTACAAGAACTAATGCAAAAAAATATCATACCAAGGTTTTATTGCAGTTTTTACGACAATGTTTTAAACATTTAAATGGTATCTACTTGTTCAAATTAAGCTAGGTACGTTAAATTTAATATTTTGTAAAAGTAGGCCTAACGAAGCTGTGATTGTCGTGCCTTTTTTTCTTTAAGTGAAAATTATCTATTATAAGTTTAAGTTCCTCAAATATTACAAATTTTATTCGAAATAAATGGAAAATAGTTTGATTACTTTCAAAATATGGTTTCATTTTGTCATAAAATCATAAAAAAATGTATACGTGGCACTCTGCGCATTATACTGAATCTTTGGGAAACAAAGACGGAATTGTAAGTATCCGACATATTTTTATTTATTTATTAGAATACCAACATAAATGTTCAGTTTTATTGAAAACTACATAAAATTACATTAGTATAACCATATTTTAAATATAAAAAATAGGCAAGAGTCATCATCATGTAAAAGTAGGTTTAACGAAACTGTGATTGTCGTGCCTTTTGATTCTTTAAGTGAAAATTATCTATTATAAGTTTAAGTTCCTCAAATATTACAAATTTTATTCGAAATAAATGGAAAATAGTTTGATTACTTTCAAAATATGGTTTCATTTTGTCATAAAATCATAAAAAAATGTATACGCGGCACTCTGCGCATTATACTGAATCTTTGGGAAAGAAAGACGGAATTGTAAGTATCCGACATATTTTTATTTATTTATTAGAATACCTACATAAATATTCAGCTTTATTGAAAACTACATAAAATTACATTAGTATAGCCATATTTTAAATATAAAAAAAATATCATCAGGAGACTCATCAGGAGACGGTAACACATTACAAAATAAATAAAAACACTTTAAATCACTCTCCTGTAAAATTGGAAAAATAGCAATTACGTCGATGTTTCTCCAAATGAGCGAATATGTTCACGACATAAAATAAATATGCAAGTTTTACGATATGAATGCTAATAGTATAGTCCCGGTTTCAAATCCCGGTTCGGGTCAAAATCAGTTATTGGGTTTTTCTGTCAAAAAACTCGGAGTAGCTGAAGAGCCAAACATAGGAATTTTGGAAAGCACGTAAAGCCATTATTAGTCCTATACCATCTCTCTGCAGTTGTGTCAGATTGTCGTCCCATCGGCTTATGACAGTAGGGGAATAATCGTTTTATTTTATTATTAAATATCTCTTTAGAATGTTGGCACGAGGAAATATTCAAAGAAAATTTTGTAGTTCTCTTAAGTAATTATGTATAATTAACAAAATAAAAAAAATTATAAATCGACTTCAAATATAGTTAGATCTGAAGTTTATATAAGTCAATCACCTCTAACGATAGAATATATTCGCTAAACCGGTTAGTTAACTAATATAAGAAGTCACTTTAAAGCAAAGGAAAATCACAATATTTTCTAAAGGCGTTTAGTTTACGGCATGCTAGAAAACTGAAAACGGATTTAAAAATTTGTAGGTTAGTTCGTGGTTATACACCAGCTGACATGTTTGAATTGAAAATACCAATTTTACTTTCCATTCCGTTACCGTACTGTACTTTGTGTACTGTCGGGTATCTTGGTGTGCTATTAGCAGTTGAAATAAACAGCAGTATCATTGTTCTCGTATTTTAATTGAACGACGTACGAGAATATAAAGCTGTTGGAAAGGTGATTCACTTGTATTCCAATTATTTATTTTCTTCGAATACTAACACCAGTAGTTACGTGAGTTTAACTCAGTCACATCCATCAACGAAACTTTTGCATTGTTTAATTTTGGTAACAATTTTTACTTTGTATAGCGGGGCAGTTTTATATTTAAACTAAATATTAATCCGTATTTATAGGTACAAGAGTATAATATGTATTAATCGCATTGCGTGTTTATTGTATACCCAAATTTTACTATTCATATATAGATGATAGGGTAGTAAAGAGTAAGCAGAACTGAGATTTAATTTATTTCACTTCAGACTATGTCGGCTAAGTAAATTCCATGATTATATTTATGAATAAAGCCCAAAATATTGTTTTCTATTATCTAATTTGTGCTTCTATAATATAAAATTTGAAAAAGAAGTGGAAAACGTTTTTATTTTGTAATTATACATGAGGCTTGAAGCAATAAGTGAAGAATAAGCGGAACTACGAATGCAGTTGACACATTTGCTACGTATTCTACTGAATTAAGGCTGCGTACAAACCGAAAAGATGAACTTGGTTTTACGTCGAGTATTTTAACTCTACAGTTCATGCTGTGACTAATGATTTTTACTGTGTTATTTTCATACCATTTGAACATGAAATCGGGTATTATGCAATTAGAAAACTCATTACAAATCTATAAGTATGAGAAATATAATTCATAAATTTGTAAAATTGTTCATACGGTTGCTTCGCACGATATTTTTAGTCAATCTGTTTACAAAATTGCAACAAACATCTTCAGGTCTTACTTGAATGAAATGAAATGAAAATGAAATTGAACTTTAACACAAAACAAATGAACCAAACGTTTTATCCTAGTTACGTATTAGGTAATTGATGGCAATAGGGTGGTGTTAATTAGCGTACCTAGTTACTTTCCTAAGAAACGTAAAGTGTCTGTTTTTCTATTCTCGTGTTGCGTTAGTCTCTTAAACAAAAAGTTTGACATAATCACTATGTTTCCGAACGAGAAATAAGTAGAACAAAATCATAATATATGATAAGTTCTCATGCGCTTAATGCTGCTAGCAAACGAGGCAGTTGCTAATGACTTTGCTGCTGAGTGCTGTCGCATCGCTCAACGTAAGTCAGTGCAGGAAGACTTAGCTCGTATTAGAACAAAAACTCTCAAATCGATGAATTGCGAGAATTTTGTAGAAATTCTAAAATTACACGAAGTTTTAACTAACGATCAAATAAAGGAGGAGAAATAAAGGAGGAGAAATAAGATTTCGTAAACGCAATTCCTAATCATGAGGTCGCTGGTTCGAATCCAAGGTCGGGGCGAAAACAGTTATTAAGTTTTTCTGTTAAGAAACGCTCAGTAGTAACCCGGAGTCAAGATTTTGGCGGTCTTTCATCCCCGCGCCCCCGTAAAGCACGTAATGCCGTAGATTATGCACTTGATCTCTCTCCGGTCGTGTCGGATTGCCGTCTCATCGGACTATGAGAGTGAGAGAATAGAGAATGCTTGCACATATACTGGGGCAATGTGATCCTGTCCTACGCTGATGACTAATTAAATGGCTGATATCTAATGACGCTGGCCACTGTAACCGACATTCGGTCTGGAAGATATTACGTGTCCACAAGGACATCATTACTTAAGTAAATTTATGGTATGTTCCAGGGCAAGGGCCCTGTAGACCAAGGACAAATGGTAAGTTACAAGTAAAGGTGCGAAACTCGACATTATATATTTTTGAAGTGTCTACACGACTTATATGTTTGAGATCATGCACAATGATGCTATGGTTTTGAAAGGAGACAATTTCTTTTTGTGTGAGAATGGGCCCACCACAAATTTTAAGGATTCCTAATGATATTCATGTCGATATATTCTTCGTGAATATTAGTAGAATAGTATTGTAATCTTAAAAAAAATTACATGAATATAATTTTTTAAGATTACAATACTATTATAAATTCTATTCTATCTAAACGAAGTACTAAGAAATTAACAATTAAATTATTAATCTAACAATAACCTAAAAAATAAAATGAAAACGATTTTCTAGTAGTTTTCACCGCTATTATAAGTTTTAATAGTGCACTACTGAATACATATAAAACAAAGTTGTAGGTATATTCAGCATTTATAGGTCAACTTTAAGAACGATGGAAAATATTTTCACTAGTTTTGACAAAATATAATGTCTGTGTGTCTGTGCAGAAATATCGTATAAATTCTATTTTTGACTTGTATTGATTGATTGTGAGTGTACATTTCAAATGCTATTAAACTAATATAATTAAAGTCAAGATGATTAAGGGGTAATATTATGTCCATTTATATTTATAATATTAGCAACACACGGTAGGAAAGATGTTTTAAACTGATTGTATTATAATATAATATATTATAATACAATCAGTTTATCAATAAAAACGAAATATACTTTAAATTATAATTTCTAAAGTACTCTAATAAAAGTAGTTCAGAAACAGAAACTTTTTATTCAATATATATTATAAATAATACTTATTGAAAGGGACAATTTTTTTAAAATTATCACTGGTTCGGAAAAAACCTCTGTCTTGAGAAGAACTAGTAAGAAACCCAGTGAGACTTTTTTTTAAAAACAACTTACAATCATGTTACAATTAGCAGCACAGAACAAATTAGAAATAGCTTCACTTTATACAAAAGATCACCTTACCCAATGGTTATTATCATCCATAAATTCCTTATTGTTATAATAATCCTTTTTATACAAACTAAGTTTAAATATCGAGTTAGCGCTAAAATATAATCTAAAGTCAAAGTAAACTTTTTTCTAAGCTTTAACTTTTCTATTTCTAATTACATGATAATTCGTGGAATAAGAAATAGAAAACAGCTTTCAACAAAAACCATTTTGCAAAAACACTCAGTAAAAATCCATTTATTGTCCATGCATTGCTTCAGATTTATTTAAATGCATAATCTGTGATACAGGATAGCTTAAAACATTCTGACAGTTAAAACAAAATAACAATTTTAGCACACAAAAATATTATTTATTTTCGGATTCAAATCCAGGGCCTACGACTTACCAGTTACACTGTGTCACGCTATTGTCAACTTATAATCGGATTAAGGGTAGTTAGGTAAACCCAGAGTAGCTTGTTTCTTGTACCGTAATTGAATAAAATTGTATGGTGTGCGTCGACTACCAACTTTTATATCGATAAATTTTCATTTGAAATGAGCCCCTCTAATGATATTTCATTCAGTACATTCAGAATCACAACTACTCAGGCTTTATAATTATGTTCTGACATTCAATTCTTACAAAGTTGTTATAAAGTTTATTCGTATTTCTACAAATTTGAGTATTCATAGTATGAAATGAACCTTTAATGACGTTTCATACAATACATTCAGTATACAGTACGTTCAACAACTACTCAAGCGACATTACTCTATTACGAAATCCGAATAGATCAGCTTAATAATTACGATCGTTTTAATTTTCGTTTTAAGTTATTTTTCAATTATATTGACAATTTTTTTGTTATATAAAAGACTTCATATTTAATAAAGCTATTTCGGTACGGATTTACTTTTCCTTGATATGCAGGATCCGAGCTCAAGTTGCCGGCGCTTAACCTTGGCGCCAAGCCTCTATGAACAATCTTCGCAATAATATTAAGAACCAAAATACTGGAAATAATTGCCTTCATTTCTTATTACAGAATTTTAAGTAGTTTTAATAATTACAGCTTATATTTAAAATTAATTTTAAATCTTACTGCGTTTCTCTTAGTCACGGATAGATGTTCACACAGCAGTTAGTAAATACTCTATCGAAATCACTAATGATGTGTGTAAGGACAATGAAAGTAAAGTGAAAACACATTCTCACTTCCTCGCAATCGTAACGCTGATTGTCATCACGGAGAGAGTTTACATATGCACAACGACAAATATCCAGAGCCGAAACAATTATTTGTAGGCCCACACAAACGCTTACTTGTGCAGGAATCGAACCCACGACCCTCAGAGCTAAAAGTCAGTACTAAGCTACTGCACTACGGAACTGCCAATTTATGTTATTATTTTGGGATCATTGCGAAAATATACTTTATAAAAAAAATCCTGGAATTTTCAATAGGCGAACTGGTCATTACTATAGCCTCTATGAACAATCAAACTTATTCAGGCGGATCTAAGCGCCGCAACTTTAATAATTTAAAACATAAAATAAAAACAACAAAATCTAAAAAAGTTTAATCATAAAATAATAAGCCCCCGTCTCACTTTCATCCTCACCAGCGATCCTTACTATTGATGTTAATTGTTTCTGTTTGAGGCTGCTCCGAATTTAGTTTACTTATTAGTAATAAGTTTATTTTGTCAAATATGATACGGTGCCTTAACTAATAATAAAAAGGAATTTCTAAAATGCATCTTCATCGTCATTGTCATCTTCATCGTCATTTTCATCGTCATTTTCATCGTCATCGTCATCGTCATCGTCATCGTCATCGTCATCGTTATAGTCATCGTCATAGTCATCGTGGTCGTCTTCGACATAGTCATTGTCATCGTCATCATCACCATCTTTTTCATTATCATCATCATCATCGTCGTCATCGTCATCATCATCATCGTCATCGTCATCTTCATCATCATCGTAATCGTCATCGTCATCGTCATCATCATCATCATCATCATCGTCATCACCTTCTTCATCATCACCATCATCGTCATCATCATCTAGAAGCATTATTTAATTTAAAATAAGTATTGTGAAACTAGTACAAGTGTTTATCTAATTCACAAAAATATGTGCAAATATTTAAAAAAAATGAGAAGTCCTTCGTTCCGCATTTTGTCGTTAAGAAAATTCAAGCAATGGGACTTACACCATTAAAAATATAAACTATAACTTTATTTGTTTATTTTTCACCGATCCCTAAGAATACTTTTCAGTGCGGACGAGAAAACTTTTTCCGTCTACTCATTACGTGGACGTGAACTATCGTCGACAAACTGCGTCACGCCATTAACGAAAGGCTTTGTGGTCTATTAAACGCTACAAGACGCGGTTCTTCGAGTTATCTTTTCTTTACAGTTATTTATTTTGTATTTTAACATGAAGAATAACCTTAATATATTTAATATTAAAAAAAAAAAAACAAAGAATAAATGAGCTAAACCTATCTATAGCAAGAAAGGTTCATGTCCTATCACATAAACCCAATATATTTGAAGGTTGATTATAAATAAGAAATGAGGTGAAGTTTCAATGGACAGCCGATGGCAAAGAAATGTACTCAAATTGCAGCCTCATAACGGTAATTACGTATTAACCTGGTAAGACATGACACGATGTTGCATCCCCTTGAAATTTTATCGTATTTATCCAGGAAGAGCTTAGAGGATTTGTTCTGATTAATTTCAGCATTTAAACTTCAACACATCGCACATTGCAAAAAACACCACCACTCACGGAGCTCGGCAGTAAACTACTATGTGATAATGAGGAGTTTTCTGCCTCGCATGAATTTTGTATGGAATCGACAACCACCGGCGATTTTTCGGACTAGTACGACTTGACAAGAAGTGACATTTTTATTTATTTTTAAATGCCGACAAAGCACTTGCAATTCTTCTGGTGCTGCAGCTGTTAAAAGGCAGTGACACTTTCCGTCAGTTTAGCTGCATGGCCTTTTGCCCCACTTCTACAAAAAAAAAATGCGAGAATTTGATAGATGCACGTAGCTCAGAACCGCTTTTGTAGCATTTCTTGGAGAAGGCCTATGTTTAACACTTGTGGAGGATGTAAACATGATGTGATTGATATAATAATATCTTCTGAGACCTCTTTCTCATTAATCATTACAAAAGTGATAAAACGTTTGCTTTGTGAAGGTCAAAAAACGTAAAGAAAAAACAAACAAACAAGGTTATGAATGTGTGTTTACGCAATAATAAGATGAAACAGCTCAAAGTCTATGACTACACTGGTACTTTATACATTACAAATAGAAACCCAGCTATGGGGCAGATTGCTTCCTTGTTATTAATAAAGGAAAGTCATACAATACAAATGATGGTTTGTGGCTTATGTGGGCTATGAATTTATATTCGAAACAAAATACGTTTGCGTTCTCATCCCCTAGAACTGAGATGGTTAATATGAAACTCTGGTTCTAATCTACCACTACACTTCTGAAATTAAACCGATTTATTCTTAGCTTTGCGAAAATCATAAGTTAAAATAATATTGAATTACGTGTATATAATCGGCCGTCATATTTATATAATGTGTATAGAGTGTGTTGAATACATTAAATTTAGAATGTTAATAAAGATAGAGATGGAGAAAGTATTAAAAAGAAGAGATTTTATAAAATTTAGTTTTAATTTACTTTGATTCATTAAATCGCGGGAACCAGAGCGATGTTCAAAAGAAGTCTTTAGGATTCTTTTGGGATTACACAATTTTTATTTAAAATAATAAGATGACATTTCCTTTCAAATGAAATTTTATTTTTTGCAATAATTAGAACGCAGTATATCAAAACATATTTTATCCGCTCCAGTCTAGTACAGTGGCACTTATAACATTTTCCCCAGCTCTGTGTATAATCTTGGTGCACTAAAGCTACGCATCGGCAGAACTAGGATGCTAACTCTTAACTCCAGCTTATGCGAAGGCACGTCCGTTAACTTCAAAGAGTTCTTAAGCCTCAGAAGTGTCAACGTATCTGTGCCTTCTTTTGTTTGAAATTTGTTGCGTGTTTCTGTGGACTGCAGTAACCACTTACCATCTGACAGTTGGTTTGTCAATTTTGTAACAATTACAGATGCTCAAACGCTATGTTAAACTGTATTATAAGAAAATTGTTAAAGTTAAATACGGTATTGTATTCTGAAATCAAAAGTTACAAATTTTGCTTAATTTCATTTTAGCTAGCGCAACATTGTCGTATTTATATTTTGGTTTTGCTACAAAAGCTGTTTCTTTGATGTTTTACATTCAATACAAGTTGTTAGAAGGACATAAACGTGAGCAGTAATTTTTCTGCAAAATAATAACTACCTCTTCTGATAATGTATGTAATAAATAATGTAATATATGTGTACATAATATATTAGGAGTGTGACCGAAACCATGACAGCTTTTTCTTCAAGTGATAGGCTCTCAAGCACACATTTCACTCTAAGGATTGTCCATTGAAGCTCTGATAGCTGGTGCGAAGTGTCGCCTTTGTGACTACCGACCCGCCTGATTGCGTCGTGAGTATGAGTAAACCTTTCAAGTGATCTATTAGTTGTTGGTGTATTCTTGGGCATTCCTGTGTGAAAGTGAACTTGATGGACTATTGACGTGAGAAGGACATAATATGAGCAAAAATTAATAATAAAAAAGAAAAAACATGTATTTAAAAAAATATAATTCCATTTTTTTAATATGTTAATTCGAGTCAAAATTACTGAATCACACGCGAGACCGTTGTTTCTTTTTTCACGAATGGATTTAGGAACGGACGCGAGAAAATGGTTTTATCTTCATAAGTGTGATTTTATCAAAATATAACGGTACTTACAACGAAATTGATTCTCATAACCTTTTTTTAAAATTTCTTCAAATAGATCATCACTATCATTACAGTGCTTCACAAATCCACTGATGAACATAGGCCTGAACATGGTGTTCAAATAGATAAGGTACAAAAATACATTGCCCACAGTTTCACCTTTATATAACCCGTAAGTAAAGTTTAGAACAGCTATGACTAGATGGAGTGGTAAGGCATGTCAGAAATCGATTTTTTTTAATAGAAGAGGGGGCAAACGAGAATGCGGCTCACCTGATGTTAAGTGACTACCGCCGCTCATTATCAACCGCAACACCAGGGGAATTGCAGGTGCGTTGCCGGCCCTTTCGGTCATATCGGTCCGGAAAAATCGCTGGTGGTAAACTATTCAACAGAGATGTCGTACGCGGAAGAAAACTCCTTTTGAAACGTACAGTGGTGGACCGCCAAGGATCTAGATGGTGTGTATGGTATCGGGACGTTTGCCGCGTAGTGCGTTCACGAAATTTGGCGGCTGGGATTAATCCGAACAATTCCTCAGAGCACTCCCCACGGTATATGCGAAAGAAAATGTAATCGAGTGAATCGACTCTGAATCGAGCCGATCGGAAAGCACTCGGTCGTCGACGATTCGAGTCGCTCTGCGCTGGATGCAATCAAGTGGAAGGAGCTGGTACTGGGGAGCCCCAGCCCAGAGATGGGAACAGTATTCCATGTGCGGCTGAACCTGCACCTTTAAAGTTGTAGGTGGTGTGCCGGCATGAAATACTGTCCCGCTCTGCTGAGCACGCCAAGCTTTTTTAGAGGCCAATTTGGCATTCTCTTCCAAGTGACCACGAAACTGCACGTCAATCGATATGTCGACGCCGAGGATTCCGATACTGGCTGAGGCAACAAGGGGGAGTGCCTTAAAACTGAGGAGATACGACAAAGGGGTTCTTTTTAGCGGTTAACGCGCAAACTTGTATCTTCTGGGTGTTAAACTTGACTAGATTTAGTCGCCTCCAATCCGAGACTCTGTTCAGCAGAGACTCGACTTCAGACACAAGTTTGTCCCGGTACTCGGAGACGTTTTCCCGAGAAATATTGGCTCGGCCGGTGTACAGAGCCAGTGCTGTCATCTGCATAGCAATAAATGTTACGGGTTTGCAACATATCATTGATATGCAGAAGAAACAGCGTTAGCGATAGCACGCAGCCTTGTGGAACATCAGCATTAATAGGCTTGTAATCGGAGCTTGCACCGTCTAGAACGACCTTGATGCTCCGATCTGCAAGAAAGCTGGTGATCCAATCCCACAATTTTTCGGGAAGGAAAGGAGCTTCAAAAGAAGCGCTTTGTGCCAAACCCGATCAAAGGCCGATAGTTGCATGTTGTCAGTTGACCGTGTTTTGTGCATTTCTTGGAGGGGCCTATGTATGCTCAGCAGTTGACTTGTAAAGGGGCTGCCAGCTGTAAAGTATGAAACATTTTTTTTTAATTTTGAGTTTATATTACTTATTACTCTTGTCTTTTATTGTAACTAACATTACTAGTTAAAATTATAATTACGACAATAAAAAAATTAAGATAAAAACGGCACAACATTTCTAAATAAGCTAAGATTCATTCGTTATTTAGCACAGTAAAGTTTTCTCCTTATTGTGGAGTATGCCATTCACCCTTGTTATATTTTATTTTAAATCTAGCCTTTACTTGTAATATTACTCAAGTTACCAAGATACCAAGAATCATTAAAATTAGCGCACAAGCACTACACGCTCTAGTGCTTTTAATTTTTCGTTCATTTCGTTTCGTATTGCACTACAACTGAGTTATTTTGGAGAAGGCAAAATTTGGGTGTACATTAAAAACATACATCAATTATAATTAAGAGTAAATTACGCTTTAGCAAACCTAGTAAATTCAAGCTCCATTCCCATCGACGTCTGTCGTCCATCGGTGTCTACTAGATCTTTTCTGTCTAGCACACACACTCTCTTTTGTGTTCCGATTGTAATAGTAATAGAACTGTTTACAGGCTGAGTAGCATTTCATGTTAGTCATCAGGGGTGTACCTTATTCGTAACCTGCACTATATAGATTTAGTTCGTTTCCCAGCTTGAGAGTCTTAAAATTGTCAAGAAACTGTAAATTATTAATTAAAGATTTTAAAAATATTTATTTTTATATAAATAA